CAGGACACCCTGCTGAGAGCATGTCCTTAATACGGACAATGCCACACATTTATTCTAAGCTGACCCCACTGACCCCCAAAGGTTTGTTCCCTCAACTGGGGCTCCTTGGCCCTTTCATTCGCCTCAGCTCCCTACACAAAGCCCTTGTCAGATCGACAGTCCTCTTGAAACCAAACTGGGATGGGAAGAGAGGGGGAGTGGAAAAGAAGTTGAAAATAGCCCAACCTTGATCCTCCACCCCAAAGAAAGTGAAGGCATTTGCATGTTAAACCATAAGCACACATTTTAGCTTCCTCTGGTCATTTTCACACATTCCTTTCTCAAATCCTGAGAATTGGGGCCCATGGCCCCAGCCGCAGGAACTAATGTTTCAGTACCCTACTGTGAAGAAAGCAATTTTCTTTCCATTTGTAATTCTTCAAAGTTAAAAAAGAAGAAAAGAAAAGCAACAAAAACATTTATATCCCAAATGGACGGCTTCTTCTTTAGAGAGAGGGGAACAGAGACCTTGGGCTGTCTGCACTGCTCTCTGATGTGTCGCCCTGCTCGGCCCTCCTGTCCTCCGTGCTGGTTTGTTTTCCGTCTGCTGCGGCAGTGTTGGAAGAAATGACATCACTGCCAGGGGGTGGGGGTGGGAGGGACACACTTATATTTGGGTTGCATGTTTCTCTCCGTATTTTAGTTATCAGATTCTTAACTGACACTCACCCAGTAGGAATGAAAATTGCCTAAGAACTTGGGCTGGGTGGATGTATTTTGAAAAAAGAAAGAAAAAAGAGCTATCTATCCTAATCAGTCTCTTCTTTTTCTTTCTGTTACTAGTTTTATCTCTTTAAATTCAATGCACTGAGAGTTTGCCCAGAGAACAAATGAAGCACGTATAGAACGCTGAGGGTATATTTGTATTTTTCTTGGGTCTCAATGCAGAAAAGAAAAACCCTCCCTAAAAGCTGTGCTGTATTAGCACTTGTATTTGATCCTTGATTGACTCACTAGACTGCCATCATGAATTAGCTCCTTTAGTCCTCTGCCTCTGGCAGTCAACTTTTGAAGATATGTAACAACAATGGTGGGGACTGTGGTATTTGTAGATCACATAGAATAATAGGCTCAAGAAGCCCTGATTGGCCGATGTAGCTGATAGATGCCCTCGTGTCAGTTGGGACTCATGGCGACGACGCTATGTCCAACAGAACCACTAGTGTTCCTGCGCCACCCTCCAGACCATGGCTGCGCTTGAGCTCCTCCTTGTAGCCTCTCTGTCCATCCACCTCCGTCCCTCTCCGTCCAGCTTCTTTGCCGCTGCCCCTCTACTCTATCAAGTACAACGTCCTTGTCCAGGGACTCATCCCCCTGATAACATGTCCAAAGTGCTTGCAATAAAAGCTCAACATCCTGGCCTCTAAAGAACATCCTGGCTACACATCTTCCAAGACACACTAGCGTGTTTGTTCGGCAGTCCACGGGACTTTCAACTGGGGTTGCCAGCACCATGCTTCTAATGAATCGATGGGGAGATTCAACTGGGTTATATTAGGGTGCAGTCATAGCGACCTCATATGTGGAAGAGGGACACAGAACACAGAAAAAGAGACAACATGTGAGAAGAACATGCTGTGGAGTAAGTGTCATGGAGGTGAAACAATGGGACCATAAACCAAGGCATCCAGGCAGCTACTAAAAGCTGGAAAAGCAAGGAACCAAATTCTCCCCTGGAGCATCTACCAGAACTGCTCCCTGTTGACATCTTGATTTTAGCCCAGTGGGACACATTTTAGACATCTGACCACCAGATGTAAGAGCATTTGTTACAGTCGCAGTAAGAAACGAATACGTCCCTTTCAAAGTCAAACAGTCTGGAACTACAACAATGAAATTAATCTCACAAACCTAAAATTGAGAGAACTGAGACCAACACCAAAACCTAGACTGCACGACGTAAGGGTTACGCTTTCTAAACTCAGGCGAAATCATTGGGGGTAGAATTGTAGTTATTCTGGGTGTTGAATAATCATTATTCTTGTGATGGTCAGTGATTAGAAAGGGAACTGAGGGTGGCTTCTGAGGTGCCGGTAATGTGCCGGTGTTATTCTGGGTGTTTGTTACATGTAAACATGATAAACACATCAGTTTACATCAACTATATACTTGTATATAGATCAAAATATATCAACTATATACTTGTAATGTGTGCACTTAAAAATATGTACTGAGCATAATTGGCACACAATACTGCATCTATTTAAAGTGTACAATTTGGCAGAATCTGACATAAGAACATATGCTTGAAATCATCACCCTAATCAGGATACTGAAACATGCATACCACCCAAAGTTTTCTTTTCTCCTTTAATAGTTCTTCTCCTCTCTCCTCACCTCCCTCTCCCCAGACAACCATAGGTCTGCTTCCTTTCACTATAGTGTTAGCTTACAGTTTCTAGAATGTGTGTATTCAATTATGCTGGCTGTTTCATACAATATAATTCTTTGAGATCCATGTCGTGCATACCAATAATTCACTCTTTTGTTACTAAGCACTGTTCTATTAGCTGGACATATCTCTCACTGTTTTACTAGGTATCTATTAATGTTTTCAATTTGAACCGTTACAGATAAGTTGCTATTCATGTATAAATCTTTGTACAAATGGCACTTTATTTCTTTTGGGAAGATGCCTTCAAAGATGCTGGGTCATATGGAAGGTAGATATTAAACTTTTCAAAAACCAACCAACTTGATTTTCAAAGTGGTTGTACCATTTTACATTATCTCCAAAAATTGTTTGGAAGTTTATTTATAGTACATCTTCACAAAACACTCAGTGTGGTGAATCTTATAATGTTGACCACTCAGATGGATGTACAAGGGAGTCTCATGGTAGTTTTAGTTCATATTTACCTGGCATCGTTTTATGTACTTGTTAGCCACCCTTGTATCACCTTTGGTGAAGTATCAGATTGTACTGTATATTTTTTAATTGAGCTATAAATTTTCTTATGATTTAATCTTAAATGTGCCTTATGTACTTGACTCATAAGTCCTTCATGAGATATATGGCTCACAACTAGTTTCTCCCAAATCATGACTTGCCTTTTATTCTCTTAACTGTGTCACCCTAAGAGCAGAAGTTCTTGATTTTGATGGTGTTCAGTGTATCAGTTTTTCATGGGTTGTTCTTTTGTGCTATATCTCTTTGCTGCGACGAGGTATGCTGTCACCAAGCTGACTCTGACCCAAAATACAACAGAGTGAAGCACTGCCCTGTACTGCGCCACCCTCATAACCATAATCAATGAGGTGTGTTTTACCTCATTGTTGCAACCACTGGATCAGTCCATCTCTTTGACAACCTGTCTCTTCTTTGCTGACTCTCAACTTTATCAAGCGTGAAGTCCTTCTCCAGGGATGAGTCTCTCCTGAGAACGTGCCCAAAGTGTGTGTGTGTGTTTGTTTGTGTGTGTGTGTGTGTGTGTGTGTGTGTGTGTAGTCTAACCATCATCATTTCTAAGGAACATTTTGGCAAGACAGATCTATTTATTCTTGCATTGTATGGTATTTTCAAAATGTCTTACCAACACCATAATCCAAAGACATCAATTTTTCATCTTCCTTATTCTTTGTCAAAATTTTGCATGCAAATGAAGCAATACTATGGCTTAAATCACTTAGTTTTCAAAATGATATTTTTCATTTTAATACGTGAAAGAGAATTTTATTATTTTTTAATCACTCATTTTAAGGCAAGACTTTCTTACAGAAACTTTACCACCCAATCACCTAAAATTCAAACATTTACAGGCATATGAATCAACCTTTCAATATCAATTGAACCAAATTTCAAATATGTTGGTTTCTGTAGGTTCATATCCCAAATTACACCTTCCCTGGGATTCTGTCTTTCTGCTCAAAATGTTACCACAATTGTGGTGTATGAGTTATTGACAGAAAAGAGTCAGCACACTTCTCTGAGACAGGAGGATATGCTTGCTGTGGAAAAAAATACCTGTTTTCTTGTTTGATTGTAAGTATGAAGATTACATACTTATCATCTGGTTGGTCTATTATAAATATGGATATGCTTACAGTGCATATAACTACGTTTGTAGAAATATCGTTTGCAAAATTTATATATGGTCATATGCCTCCTCCGTTTCACCTGCTCATACTTGTCTATGTGATTGTGTTTCCACTAATGGATGAATGTTACTTCCGATAATGCAGCAGGAGGTACAGAATGGTGTTTATCTTTGAAGCTGGGAACTCTTGTGCATCTCCCTTAGTTTTCATTTTCTTGAGTGAAATATATTGCTTTACTTTTCACCCAAATCAATACAAGTCGATTACCTACTTCGTCATCACCTCTCTCCTCCCATCCCTGATAACCATCAAAGAGCAACAATGCTTCTTGTGTGTACTCTTTTCCTTGCCCTTTGGCTACTTCACTCAGCATGATGTCCTCTAGATTCATCCACTGTACGAGGTGTTTGGCAAACTCTCTTATTCTTCAGTGTTACGTAATATGCCACTGTGTGTTGTCGATGTTGCTGTTGGGTGCCTTAGAGTCGATCTCAACGCACAGAGACCTCTGTACAGCAGAAGGAAACATTGCCCAAACATGTGCCATCCTCACAATTGTTCTTGTGTTTGAGGGCATTGTCTCAGCCACTGTGCCAACCCAGCTCCCTGAGGGCCGTCCTCTTGGTCACTGCCCGACTACTTTACCAAGCATGCTATATTTTTACAGGGACTGAGATCTCCTGACAGCATGTCCAAAGTACATGGATGATATCGAGCCATTCTTGCCTCTACTGCGCATTCTCTGGGTACTTCTTCCAATACAGGTGTGTTTGTCTTTTTGATAGTGCATGGTGCTCGTAATGTTCTTCACTAGTACCTTAATTTAGAGCATTGATTCTTCTTGTCTTACGCATCTATTCATCAATGGATGAGCACTTAGGTGGGTTCCAGCTCTTTCCTTTTGTGAATATTGCTGCACTGAAATGGGTGTGCAGGGTATCTTTGAAAAAAATAGAATTTCTGAGGAGAAGCAGGAAGAGGACAACGACTATCACCGGAGCCACGAGCAGGTAAGCATCTGCCTGGAGTGTAACAGCAGCAAACTCCGGGGCTTCAAGCGCAAGAGGATCCGCTGCTCGGCCCAGGCCACCGTCTTACACCTAAAGAAGTTCATCGCCAAAAAGCTGAACCTCTCGTCTTTCAACGAGCTGGACATCTTATGCAACGAGGAGATCCTGGGCAAGGACCACACCCTCAAATTCGTCGACGTCACCCGGTGGAGGTTCAAGAAAGCCCCGCTGCTACTGCACTACAGACCCAAGATGGACCTGCTCTGAGCGCAGGCCTCGGCCACACCACGGACTCTGCCCGCCCCGGGCACCCCAAGGACCCACCACACGGGGACCAGACTTCTGAATAGAGAATATTTATAACTTTTTGTACGAGAGAGAATTCGCAACTCAGCCAGACACGACCAGCACCGTGTTTACAGACGACGAAGACACTTCACAGCCCTCGTCGCCGAGAGCCCCCTTGCCCTGCCTGCGCCGGGCAGCGGCGTGGCCCCCCTGGAAGGAGCGCGTCTCCACACCGACCACCTTTGCTTGCTTTCCAGGTCTTGACCAGAGTCTCCGTTTGTGTCTGTTCGGTCTCCAGGAGTTATGGTTCACCCCAAGCCTCCAGAACTCCCACATGCTTTGACGGACTCCTTCCTAAGTTATTGGACAAGACCCCTCTTCACGGTGAACAACTCTATTTATGTTGCCTTTAGCCTCCTTGAAGACCTAGAAATTATATTTAAAAATTTAATTTAAAAGTATACCAAAAGAGGTTTCCATGAAAAAAAAAAAAAGGAATTTCTGGATCAAATGATATATTTATTTCCAACTTTTACAGGCAGTGCCACCTTGTTTTCCAGTGTGATTTTGCTACAGTCCCGCCTCCGTCCACTTGTTCCCCACCCTCATCAGCATGTGCTGTGTTCTGCCTTATCGAACTGTGCTATGATTGCTGAGGTGACACGATGGATCGTCATTGCCTTGACTTGCACACTCATTGCTAAGGATCTTGACTACCCCATCGTGCATATGTTCATTGGCTGATTGAATGCCTTCTTTGGTAAAGTGTCTGTTGTTCATGCCCTCTGTCCATTTTAGAATTAGATTGTCCTTTTGCTGTTGAGGAGTTGAGGTTTTCTATACATTTTTGAGATTATGCCCTTGAGATATGTCATTGTCAAATCTCTTTTCCCAGTCTGTAGGTTTTCTTTTTACTCTTCTGATGAGTATTGCGTGTCATTTTTAGAAGGCCTCAATCACCTCGTTCATCTTCTGCTGTTCATGCATTTTAATTACATCTATCTGCTAGTCTATCATGTCACAATATATGTCCTCTAATATTGTCTCTTGGAGCCCTAGTCACACATTGCACTTCTCACCACAGGGCCGGCAGTTCAAACCTTCAGTCACTAATGGGAGAGAGATGGTGCTATCTGCCTCCATAAGAATAAAAAACCTCAGAAACCTTACAATGGTGATTATGAGTTGGAATCAACCCTATGTCAGTACATTTGATTTTTGGTTTTAGTTAACATTAATTCATCTTGAGTTACTTTTTGCACATAGTAGGAGGTAGGAGTTTTATTTATTTTTTCTGCTTATAGATATTCATTTCGCCAGCATCATTTGTTAAAAAGACTGACTTGCACCCATTTAATGGATGCCAGCTCTTTCCTCAGGTGCTCATTGGGTGACGTCAATTCAGCTCCAATTCATGGTGACCCTATATGCAACAGAACTAAACACTATCCAGTCCTGTGTCAGCTAAACAATTGTCATCATTCTTGAGCCCATTGCTGCAGCCACTTGGTCAACCCATGTACCAAACATCATGCTCTCTTCCGGGGGCTGGTTCGACTGAAAAAAAGTTCCAAAGTATGTGAGATGCTTCTAAGGAGTGTTTTGGCTGTAGTTCCTTTAAGATGTATTTACCTGTTCTTTTGGAGGTCCATGGTACCTTCAATATTTTCCAGCAACATCATAATTCAAAGGTATCAATTCTTCCCTTGGCTTCCCTATTCATTGTCCAGTTTTCATATGAGGTGACTGATGCTATACGCCATTTGATTTCTTGGCTACTGCTTCCATGAATGCTGATTGTCGAGCCAAGAAAAATAAAATTCTTTGCAATTTTATTCTTTTCTTACTTTACCATGTTGTTGTCTATTAGTCCAGCTGTCTATAGTCGGATGGATTTACTTCTGGATTTACAATTATGTCCCATTGGTTCGTGTGTCTTTTATTATACTAGTACCAGGTTGTTCCGACCACTGGAGCTTCATAGTAGGTTTTGAAATAGGGGACTGTGAGACTTCCTATTTTTTTCCTCTTCTTTAGTAGTGTTTTACTTATCAGGGGCCTTTTTCCTTTTTCAGATAAAGTTAGCAATTGAGTTTTCTGCCTTCTTAAAGATCATTAAAGCCATCTGAATCAGGATTCTATTATATCTATAGAGCACTTTGAGTAATATTGATAGTTTCAGAATATCTTTATATCCATGAGCTGGATATGTTTTTCTATTTATGTAGTTCTCTTTTAGTTTCTTGCAGTACTATATTGTAATTTTCTTTGTATAAGTATTTATAATTAAACATATTATAATATATTACATAAAATATACTATATATGATATCCATTTCACAATCCATAGCTAATCTATGGTGTAGTTGCACAACTGAAAAATCTCAGTAAGTTTTCATTTTTAGTTCTTCCTCAAGCAAAGGTTGGTGACATGATTCTCTTTGCAGCAAAGATTCAGCTGCTACAAATTGCTCCTATGCTGTGGTTCTGCTATCTGGACTTGTGACTTGCATGGTATTAGAAGAGGGCGACATGAGAAGGCAGATAACTTTTCTAGCTGGTTGTTACTTGCAGACATTGCTTCTATCCACTGACCAGAACCAGTGATAGCACCAACCTGTCGGCCAACGGAAGTCCCCATGTGGGGCAAACAGGCAGTGAGTAAGCTCAGCTATCAATTGAACGAAGGAAGACTGGATTTTCCTAGAAGGACCTAAAGAGGGAGGGCTGGTGATTTACTTACAAAATCATGAGTCATTGAAAGCCCTTTAGAGCACCGTTCAACTCTGATGGGGCTTTCAGGTTGATATTAGTTGGAATCAAGTTGTATCAAATGATTTTTAATAAGGGGGAGAGGGGTCATAGAGCTGGAAGCAATTTTTTTAAATTTACTTTTTTTAAAGCAGTTTTATTAGTGTCTTAATCACATGTCATACAATTCAATAGTTCAATCAAATCCAGAAGAGTTACAAGCATCACCACCATCAGTTTTAGAACATTTTCTTCATTCTTTTTTTTAATAAATCATTTTATTGGGGGCTCTTACAGCTCTTATAACAACCCATACATCAATTGTATCAAGAAATTTGATACAATTGTTTTTTGCCTGTGTTTGTTTTGTGTTTTTTGCCTGTGTGTGCTTAGGTTTTTGAAAACCATCTATGCTACTACCTATCTATATTATTTCCTGTTTACTTATGTATCTACCTGTGGTACTTTCTATGTAGCTATATATATTACTATCTATGTATGTTTTTAAAAATAAACCTTGCTTATTCATTTTATTACATTTTCTTCACTTTCCCTCCCTCCTCCCCCTGGCTTCTTTATAGCCATCAAAGTCTGCTTCTTCTGGTGTGAAACACTTTTCTTATTTTTTTCCTTTTGGAATAGTGGTCTCCTAGAATATTTGTCTTTATAGGATTGATTGATTTTGATCAGCATATATTTATTTGAATTTTGTAAAAATGACACTTCGGAAGCTGAAAATAAATGTATATAGGAAAAACATTTTAGCAAAGTCTCAATTACCAATGCAACTTAATCACTATTAAATTTTGTGTCTTCTATAAACATGCACATATGTATATAAATGGAGTCTGAGAGTGGTACGAATGATAGTGGTGCTGAGTTGTAACTGAAAGGTGGCAGTTTGAGTCCATCTACAGGAACCTTAAAAGCAAGATTTGGTGATCTACTTCCAAACTCTCAGCCACTGTGAACCCTATGGAGCAATGTTCCACACTGGCACATGTAGGATTTCTGAGTAAGAGTCCATTAATGACAAATGGTTATTGTTTTCAATGTATATCATAAATACACATACTTATTAAATGATTGGTTACCTTATATACATATACCTGTTTTAATTTTACACTAATTTACATGTTTATTACACTAACATACTTATTAGCCTTATTTTATACTGTTAGGTGCCATTGAGCAGGCTCCAAGTCATCGAAACCCTTTGCACAACAGAAGCAAACACTGCACCACCCTGTGCCATCCTAACAATTGTTCCTACGCCGGAGCCCATTGATGAAGCCACTGTCAATCCCTGTCATTGAAGGCTTCCCCTACTTCTCTGCTCCTCCACTCTAGCAAGCATGATGTCCTTCTCTGAAGACTGGTCTCTCCTGACAATATGTCCAAAGTGTGTAAGATAAAGTCTTGCCACCTTGCCTCTAAGGAGCCTTACTTCTTCGAACACTGATCAGTTATGTCCTTGCAGCCATCCTTGGTACTTTCAATATTCTTCTCCAGCACCACAATTCAAATGCATTCTTTCTTGTTAGATCTTCTATATTCAATGTCCTACTTGCACATGGGTACAAGGCCATGTAGCATACCATGTAGAATACCACAATTCAAATGCATTCTTTCTTGTTAGATCTTCTATATTCAATGTCCTACTTGCACATGGATACAAGGCCATGTAGAATACCATGTAGAATACCACAATTCAAATGCATTCTTTCTTGTTAGATCTTCTATATTCAATGTCCTACTTGCACATGGATACGAGGCCATGTAGAATACCATGGCTTGGGCCAGGTGCACCACAGTCCTCAAAGTCACATCCATACTTTTCAATACTCTAAAGAGATCTTTTGCAACAGATTGCAGTGTGTCTTTTGATCTCCTGACTGCTGTTTCCATGAGCATTGATTGTGGATCCAAGCAAGACAAAAATCTTTGACAATTTCAACCTTTTTACATTTATCGTGATGTTACCTATTGACCCAGTTTGAGGATTTGGGTCTTCTTTACATTGAGTTTAATCGATACTGAAGCTACAATCCTTACTCTTCATCGGCAAGGGCTTCAAGTCCTCCTCACTTTCAGCAAGCAAGGTTGTGTCATATTGCCGCTTGTTAAGAAGATTTTCTCGAAGGCCGATGTCACATTCTCTTTCATACAATCCAGCTTCTCTGACTATTTGCTCAGCATGAAGATTGAACAAGTATGGTGAGAGGATACAACCCTGTCACACACTTTTTCCTGGTTTTAAACCATGCACTATTCCCTCCTTATGTTTGCACAACTGCTTCTTCTCAAAGTTATCCCAGTTTATTATGGTCCACACAGTTGAATACCTTTGCATAGTCAACAAAACACAAGTTCAACATCTTTCTAAGATTCTCTGCTTTGAGTAAGCTCCATGTGACATAAGCAATGATATCCCTTGTTCCATGTCCTCTTCTAAATCCAGCCTGAACTTCTGAGAGTTCCCTGTGGTGGTAGTTACATAATCTGGTGTCAATTTGGGAC